CTCCTCCTCCTCCTCCTCCTCCTCCTTCCCGGGCGCGGACTCGAGGGAGACCGCTGAGGAGAGTGCGGCGGCGCCCGCGGGAGGGCAGCGCAAGGTGACCGCCCCCCCGGAGGCGGCCGCGGCCGGGGACGCGCGCACCTGCCCCGAGGAGCCCCGCCGCGCCCGTGGCCCCTGCAGCAGCGGCAGCGACCCGAGCCCGCCCGGGGACTCGCCGAGCCTGAACTCCTTGGAGTCGTTCTCCAACCTGCACTCTTTCCCCAGCAGCTCCGAGTTCAATAGCGAGGAGGGCGCGGAGAGCCGGGTCCCCGAGGAGGAGGAGGAGGAGGGCGCGGCGGGGGCGCCCAGGGCTGCGCCTCTGTGTCGCGTGGAAGACGAGGAGGACGGCGCTCAAGGGCCCGCGGCCGCCAGGGAGCGCTTCCCGGGGCAGTCTGTGTATCACATCAAATGGATCCAGTGGAAGGAAGAGAACACACCCATCATCACCCAGAACGAGAACGGGCCCTGCCCTTTGCTGGCCATCCTCAATGTTTTGCTTCTGGCCTGGAAGGTACATTCTGCAGTTTTCCACTTCCTACAGCTTCTGGGGAGGGGCGACACGGGGTGTGGAAGCTGCTGCTTGTCCTCTGCTGGCTTGCTTTCTTCACGCGTCAGTCCCCTTTTTTTCCTGTATGAAAATTATTCCAGAACCCCCCCCCCCTTGAAAGGATATCCATATATATATTTGTGTGTGTGTTCGCAGCTATATACATATATATATATACATGTTGAAATACAGTATTTACGAGCAAGTAGGACTTAATTATAAATCCTATAATTATTTAAAGTTGTATTTTCTGTATTCTAACTATCACACGTGCAAAAAACAGTGAAGAATTGGAGAAAGTGGTCTTCAGAAGTTACCATCAATACATGATATCATGGAGTAAGTTTTTTTTTTGCTACCGGGGATCGAACTCAGGACCTTGCGCTTCGGTGCCACTGAGCTAAATCCCCATCCCTGGAGTAAGTTTTGATGGTTATATTGAGTCTGTTTTCAGTCTAATGCTTCTCCAGTTGGGCAAGGATACTTAAGAGAATGGTGATTAGGAAGCTGTGGCCCTTTAGACAAATTCCATTTAAGGAAAAGCCTTGGTCTGAGACCCAATTACCATAACTTGTAGATTTTCATTCTTTTTGGAGGGTGGGGGCCTACTGGGGATTGAACTCGGGACCTTGCCCTTACAAGGCAAGCGCCAAAACCACTGAGCTAAATCCCCAGCCCCTAGATTTTCATTCTTTTTGGAGGGAGGGGGCAGGGTCTCCTTTTGTAGTCCAGGCTGGCTTTGGACTCAAAATCCTCCTGCCTCTTCCTGCCTGTTGCTAAGATTACAGGTATGTGCCATCATGCCCAGCTAGCGTCTAAATTTTTGAAGATTATGCTTTCTTTATGTATGATTTTTATTTTCCTCCTATCTTTGATTCTATGTAAAAGGGTTGGTATTGTTACCAGTAACTGTGGATCAGAATGTGATAAGGGAGCTAAAATTATTAACAACTACAATAAGAAAAGGTATAGCTAAGACCAGAGATTTAGCTCAGTGGCACCACACCTGCCTCACAAATGCAAGGTCCTGAGTTCTATCCGCAGTACCAAAAAAAAAAAAAATATATATATATATATCTAAGATAGTGGAGCAAAAAAGAAAAAAGGAAGGGTAAATGTATTGAGAACTCAGTCTCTGAGTTACCTGCAAATGCAGTGCCTTATTTAAGTTTTCAATTTCAAGATGTCAAGAAGGTGCATCTCATGGCACCTGTCATTTTCAAATTGATAGCTATATCTATAGATAAAATATTCTGTAGGGGAAAATAGCTTGGATTATTCTGAACAGTTAGGAACAAAAATCAATAAAGGGAATGCTGTTTATTACATGTCTTGTCTTCCTATTGCTAGCAGAGCCCAATACCAAAAAAAAAAAAAAAAAAAAAGGCTGAGGATGTGTGCACAGGGTTCAGTTCCCTGGGTTCAGTTCCCAGCAATCCCCCTCCCCCATCTTAAGAAAAAAGATTAGAAACATTGCTATTATCTGTGTATAATGGTCTCAGATTTTTGGAGTGGAAGCAGTGTCTGCTCTTGAAGAGCTGTCATGATGTTTGGATTGGTGTACTGATTTACTTGACATTATTAAAGAATAATAAATACTACTAGGTTACACAGAGTGAATGGAAATGCATTAAATACCCAAAAGGGGAAATTTTTCTTTGGTCTGGCATAGTCCCAGAAAGCTTTATGGAATTTGTGGGTCTTGAACCAAGCTTTTAAAGAAAAGAATTTAGAATAACAGGGAAATTTAATTCCTGAGGGAGAGGAGTATAAACAAAAGTAATGAAAATAGAATGAATATTTTGTGTGTTTATGTGTGTTTATTAGATGACAAGCAGTAAATTCATATGGAGAACAATAAAAAACATTGAAAAGGCAATAATAAAAAACCTTGATGGAGGCCCTTAAACAGTGAATTATATTTGGTTCTATTAGCCAGAGACCCCAGTTGCTTTTGTAGGAATGATTTAGTTTCCTTTAGTCTTTTCTGTCTTCTTAGAGTCTGTACTGTAAAACTTCGGAGGAAGGGGGAAGTACCATGTGCCTAGAGTGCTTGGAGGTAGATGAGCATTGAACTGACCCTGACAGATTGACAAGCATAGTCACATGTTGGGGTTGCCTGTCTGTGTAGGGGACTAGGAATGCACAGGTGAGCACAGTATGAATCTGCCCTCTGGTAGCTCATGTTATAGTGAGGATCCAGACATATCAGCTAATTGCAGAGCAGTGTGAGACACTGTAATGTGCTGTGGAAGTACAGAGTGAAGGGTAATTGGGGATGAGCAGTGCCAGCAGAAGCTTTCATCTAGGACCTGTGAGCCAGGTCTGCAGGATGAGTGAGAAAAGGCCTTCTGGGTTAGGGTGTATTCAGAGATACTGAAGCAGAAAAGGGTTTGTTCTGTTTGGGACCTCCAGCCTTGGTTGAAATATACTGAAAGAAGGAAAGAAAATGAGAATAACAGGAAATAAAATTGATAGTTTTGATTAGACTATGAATGAGCAGGTATACTAATGAATGTTGAAGTTTATTTTGTGAATCTGTGGTTCTCAGCCTTTTTTCTGCCTCTAAGTTTGTTTTGTTTTGTAGTACTGGGGATTGAACCCAGGGCTGTCACCCTGAGTTACACTGTATCTCCAGCCCTTTTAAAAAAATTTTTGGGCTGGGCTGGGGATTTAGCTCAGTGGCACCTTGCCTGCCTCCCAAGCACAAGGTCCTGAGTTTGATCCCCAGTACTGAAAAAAAATTTATTTTGAGACAAGGTCTTGCTACATTACCAAGGCTTGGCACTGCCTCAGCCTCTCGGAGTACTGGGATTTCAGGTGGGCACTCATGGCTTCCTCTAGCTTTAATGCCCACAAAAATCAGTTATTAGTAACATTAATAGCCAGGTGTGGTGGTGCCTGCCACTAATCCCAGCACTTGGAAGGCTAAGCCAGGAGGATTGCCATGAGTTCAAGGCCTGCGTGGGCTACATAGTGAGACCCTGTCCTTAAAAAAAAAAAAAATTAGGCTGGGGATGTAGCTCAGTGGTTCCTCTACCTGCCTCACAAGTGCAGGGACCCGAGTTCAAGCCCTGGTTCCAAAAAAAAAAAAGTTTAAAAAAATAATCATTAATGATTGATAGGAAGGTAGAATCATTTTATATAGGAAAGTTAATGCTAGAGTTTGATTGTGTCAAGTTGGGAAGAAAGATAGATTAGGTCTCAGGGAAGAGATCAAAATTATAGAGAAAAATTAAATTGGGGGATTATTGTGTAGATGCAAGAACAATAATTAAAGAGAATAAATGAATTTTCCATAGTGAGTAGTAAGTATAGTTCTCAACTTTTTTCTGTCCCAGCATACATGAAGAATTACAGCTTGCCAACAGAACCATTTTGCCTATCTTATTACCTCTTTCCTCACTCAGTCGTCCTTCACCCTATTCTCCAATAAACAAAGAGAAGAGGAGGAAGAAGGAGTAAAGGTGGAAGAGTCTTTCGAGCAAGAGAGTAAAAATGAAACCAGCATATCCACAACTTGAAATGTGGAATGGGATAAGAAGTAGAAGTAGAAGAATGTCAAGCAAGTCAGGGAGAGAGACTAATGTTAAAAATTGGTTAGTTACCATTGTGAAATGCAGGAGCATCAAGGATCAGATTGGATAGGAAAGATTTTGCCAAATAGAACAAGTATGGCAACAAGGTTGCTGAAAAGTCAGGGTAATATAGAACCCTCAAAATAGGTGGGACAGTTCTCTAAACGGAAAAGGAATAGCAGTCTCATTTTCTGAAGGAATGGAACAAGGAAACTACAGACAGTCATAGTAAGATAGTGAGGCAGATGGAAATTGAGCCCTCGTTTTCCATTTCTGCAGAATAATTATTGCAATCATCAGTAATTGAGGAAAGAGAGAAAGTATCAAAGGGTGAGTTTTGTTGGTTTTTTTTTTTGAGAGGAGGTCACCTCACTATGTTCTTCAGGCTAGCCTTGAACTCATGCTGTAGCCCATGCTGGCCTCAAACTTTTGGAGATCCTCCTGCTTCAGCCTCCTAAGTACTGAGGTTCCAGGCATGTACCACTGTGCCCAGCTTCAAGGGGATAGATTTAATGAGAGAACTGCATTACATATTAGAGAATTCCTAATCTCTGGAGATTATGCCTAGGAATTTGAGACACAAACAGAAAGACTGCCTGTTATTAGCAATGGGTAGCTGAGGTGTTTTAAACCATTTTAGTACAATACACTACACACACACACACACACACACACACACAGAGTTCTCTCAGATGAGGAAATGGAAGCAGGAAGAATGGCTGATTGGTGCTCTCAGGCCCTGGCCTTTTCTCAGGTTAGTTTATGGACACTCAGTGAAGTCAGAGAATTGCAGGTGAAACAACGACCACCTCCTTGGGAGGTGGTGTAAACCATGAGAAGACAGATGAGAGGATTCGAGTGATGGAGAGAGATAAAGGGCAGTGATCTAGATCACAGAGACAGTTAAATTATCAGGTAGGGTAAGTGCTGAGTTTTAAACTATTGCTTCAGTCCTACAGGGTACAATTCCTGATCTGTTAAATAGTTGTATGATAATCCAAGAAACCAAAATAGAAGGAAATTATTCATTAAATTTAATTTAAGGCTAAATTTATAATTTTATTTAATGAGCACCAAATAAATTTACCCAAATTTATATCTTAGAATGCTTTCATTTTGTTTCCTCATTTTAGACTGTATATAATCACCAGAAAGTATATACACACTTCAAGAAGAGAAACATCATGAGATTAGTTTACCTTTGGTCTCTACAATTACAAGAAGTGCTCAGAGTGGTGGCCTTTAGCTTCCAGACATTTATTACAGTGAACTGCTGCCTGGGTAACCTTGGTCATTGAGATTGCTGCACTGTCGTTTTCAGGTTCTTCTCTACGGGTGGGCAGTGTAATGGGTTTTCTGCAATATACAACATCCTCTAGGGTCCCC